TTTTACAAGAAGTTGCAGGGGACAATGCTGGATCATCTGGATTACAACAACATCATAATGATGGGAGACATGAACGGGGTCGTATCAACTAACATGGACAAGTCGCAAAGTCAAAATGTCAAAAGATGGCAGACTACCTAAAACCTTTTTGAAATGACTGACAATATGGACTTGATCGACATTTGGAGAACAAAGAACCCACTAGGTAGAGAAGGAACATTCTTTTCTGAAGCCCAACTGACCTGGACAAGAATCGACCAAATATGGATTTCTAGAGGCCTGGCACCTAGGGTTAGAAAAGTGGAAATCTGCCCAAAGACCTGCTCTGACCACAACGCAGTAAAGATGGATATGACACTACTACCAACTGGATCCTTTAGATGGAAGATGAATGACAATTTGTTTAGAGATCAGGAAATTACCAAGAAGGCCCAAAAAGTTTTGAAAGACTATTTCGAGATAAACATGAATAATTCGGTGGAAAAAGAATCGTCTGGGACGCAAGCAAAGCTGTCATGAGGGGATTCTTGATACAACAGAATGTAGTAAGGAAAAAAACACAAAATGAGAAAAAAGACAAGATCTTGGATAAAATAAAAGAATTAGAGAAGAAATTAAGAGTGAATCCAAAGTCACAGCCAACTCTGAGAGAAATTAAACTGTATCAAACACAATATTCTAAATTGATAAATCAGGAAATTGAATGGAAGATTAAATTAATGAAACAAAAAACGTTTGAGTCGGCGAATAAATGTGGAAAACTGCTATCTTGGCAGTTGAAGAGAAGACAAAGATTAAATACGGTTACAAATTTAGAGGTCGATGGAAGAAACATTCAGAATCCAGTGGACATTAGAAAGTGTTTCCAGAGATATTTTAAAAACTATATACCCAAGGGCCGCAAGACGAAGTCGAGATTAAACAATTTTTGGCAAAAATGGATTATCTAAACTGTCACAAGAAAATAGGACAACCCTGAACTCTAAAATAACACGACAGGAGATTGAACAAGCTATTCAGAACATGCAACTTGGCAAATCTCCAGGGCCAGACAGGCTGACCTCCAAGTATTATAAGACACTAAAAGACTATTTGATACAACCCTTGATGGAGGTTAGCAATGAAATTATGGAGGGGAGAGGGCACCGGATTCGTGGAAGGAAGCGTTTATCACATTGATACCAAAGTCAGAAGCTGAAAAGACACAACTGAAGAACTACCGTCCCATCTCCCTTTTAAATGTGGATTACAAAATATTTGCAGATATTTTTGCAAGTAGATTTAAAAAAGTTTTAAATGAAGTAATTCATAAGGACCAGGCCGGTTTTCTCCCAGGTAGACATCTGTTTGCTAACACAAGGAACATTATTGATATCTTGGAACTTCTCCAAACTGACATAAATACAAAAGCAGTTTTAATTTTTATAGATGCGGAGAAGGCCTTTGATAATATTTCTTGGAAATTTATGATGGGAAACTTAAAAGAGATGGGAGTGGGACGGGGTTTTGAGAATGGGATTGAGGCGATATATTCAGAACAGAAAGCTAAACTGATAGTTAATAATGTGGTTACAGAAGAGTTCAAAATTGAAAAAGGGACACGACAAGGTTGCCCTATCTCCCCTTTGTTATTTATTTCGGTTCTGGAAGTGCTATTGAACATGATTAGAGGGGACCAGTTGGTGGAAGGAATTCAGGTTGGTCAGAAACAATATAAACTAAAAGCTTTTGCAGATGACCTGGTTTTGACCTTGCAGAAGCCAGAGCCTAGTACGAAAAGAGTATTACAATTGATTAATGACTTTGGTCGGGTGGCGGGATTTAAATTAAATAAACAGAAAACCAAGGTTTTGGGGAAAAATTTGACTGAGACAGAGTCAGAACGGTTTCAGAATGAGACGGAACTTAATGTGGGTTAAAAAGGAAAATACCTAGGGGTAAACATAACAGCAAAAAATCTAAGTCTATTTAAGGATAACTATGAAAAATGTTGGACAGAAATTAAGAGAGACTTAGACAGTTGGTCAAAATTGAAACTTTCTTTGTTAGGCCGAATTGCTGCGATTAAGATGAATGTATTGCCAAGAATGTTGTTTTTATTTCAAACACTTCAGGTTTTGGACAAAATGGAGTGCTTTCAGAAGTGGCAGAGAGACATTTCGAAGTTTGTCTGGCAGGGCAAAAAGCCCAGAATTAAGTTTAAGATACTAACTGATGCAAAACAAAGAGGGGCTTTGCCCTGCCGGACTTAAAGTTGTATTACGAAGCCGCAGCGTTCTGCTGGCTAAAAGATTGGCTACTTCTTGAAGACACTGATGTGTTAGATTTGGAAGGGTTTAACAATGTTTTTGGATGGCATGCATATTTATGGTATGACAAAGTTAAAGCAAATAAGGCCTTTAAGAACCATATTGTTAGAAAATCACTGTTTAATGTCTGGACAAAATATAAAGACTTGCTGGAAAATAAAACACCAAGGTGGCTTTCACCTTTGGAAGCTAAGGCCCGAAAAAGACCCAATATGGAGGCCAAATGGCCAAAATATTGGGAAATATTAGAAAAAGATGGAGACAATTGGAAACTGCAGAGTTTGGAGAAAATGAAAGACAAAGTGCGAGATTGGTTACATTATGCTCAGATTAAAGAAGTTTTTAAAAATGATAAGAAACTAGGGTTCCAGGTGGAGAAATCGAAATTAGAAACAGAATTGTTAGAACCAAAGATTAAGATACTTTCAAGGATGTATAACTTGCTGTTGGAATGGAATACACAAGATGAAATGGTTAAATCGGCTATGATAAGGTGGGCACAGGATATTGGGCATAATATTATGTTTGAGGACTGGGAAAGGCTGTGGAGTAATGGATTGAAATTTACTGCATGTAATGCTTTGAAAGAAAATGTAATGAAAATGATTTATAGATGGTATATGACCCCAGTCAAACTCGCAAAAATTTACCACCTGTCTGATAACAAGTGCTGGAAATGTAAAGAGTGTGAAGGAACGTTCTTTCACCTCTGGTGGACCTGCCCTAAAGTGAAGGCGTTCTGGGAAATGATTTATAATGAATTGAAAAAGGTATTTAAATATACTTTCACTAAGAAACCAGAGGCTTTCCTTTTGGGTATTGTCAGCCAAGGGGTGGCAAAGAAGGACCAGACATTTTTATGTATGCAACAACAGCAGCAAGGATACTACTCGCAAAACATTGGAAAACTCAAGATATACCCACACTGGAAGAATGGCAGATGCAACTGATAGACTATATGCAACTGGCTGAAATGACTGGCAGAATCCGTGACATGGGAGAAGAGAGAATCGAGGAGGATTGGAAGAAATTTAAGAACTACCTACAAAAACATTGTGATTTGACTGAATGCTGAATAAGATGCTAGACTAAATAACTGAGCACCACTTAACTTAGAAGTTTTTAAGAAAATAAGAAAAACTGTGAAAGTTTAACTCTTTATGAGAACTATAAGATCATGAAATATCGAAGAGATATAAGAATTTAAATAAGATGATAAATTGCTGACAAAATGTTATAATGATGAAGGTGGGAGCGGGAGATGTGAGGAAGTCCAAAGAAAATGTGAAATTATGTTAAGACGAATGTTATATTGTTTATTACATTTATTCCTATTGTAAAATCCAATAAATTGCTTTAAAAAAAAAAAAAAATAATTAGGATTTTTTAAAATAACCCTCTAATTAGGTATATTTCCAGGAGAGAGGAGGAAATGTTGTGTCTCCTTTCCCATCCCAACCTGCACTTCTGATTGAGAGTGGGTGTCATTTCTGCAGGGTGATGCTTCCTTTTCTCAAGGATCCAGAGCACCTTGAACACCACAATGAGGGACAGAGATCCCCTGCAATCCCTCCAGGGTATCTAATAACCTCCAGCTGGGGTTTTGCCTGCTTTAGGGGACTGGCTCATCTCCAAAAGCATTCAGCAGCAGTTGTTGCCTTTATAAGTTATTATGTTGAATGTGGAAAGAGAATGAGTGATTGGTATTTTGTGTCTATCATGGTCAGATGAATCCATCAATTCTGATTTCCCTTGGGTTCTGATTTTTTTCATTCGCAAGTTTGGTCTCTGACATTTCCACATCAGTTTGGTTAAAAAAAAAAAACCCTGCGGAAAATTCACAGCAGTTCAGCACATATTTTTATATGCAATTTTATTTAATAGACAAAAAGGCAAAATTGCAAGCAATTTCCTGTAATTTAATGAATTTTTCCTGTCATCTTCACTAATGCATTCATTTTTATTTACGCTTTCCCATAACAGGTACACTTTGTACACATATTTTTGGCCAGAGCCCTGCACCACATAATTTGGAGAAATGTAAATTTTGAAGCCTAGACTGAATCTTAGTCTGTGTGTTGTTTCGGCAGGTGCAAATTAGGTAATTTGGCAATAAAATGCAAACCAAGCTGAATTCCTTCCCCATCCCTTGTGTTTTATGCAATCAAGGAAAGAGGCACAACCTTGGTCTGATCTGAAAACAGCTCAACATGAACCTCACCAGTCATCTATGAAACTCAGTTGGCAGAGCCTGAGATACTCAATCTCAGGATTGTAGGTTCAAGCCCCACATTGGGCAAAAGATTCCTGCCTTGCAGGGGTTTGGACTAAATGACCCTTGTGGTCCCTTCCATGATTCTGTGATTCAAATGGGAACATAAGCCTATCCATCTAGTACAGTCATACCTCGGGTTACAGACGCTTCAGGTTGCGCTTTTTCGGGTTACGGACCACCAAAACCCGGAAGTACCAAAATGGGTTACGTCCGGGTTTTGGCGGTCGCACATGAGCAGAAGCGCCCAATCACAACCCCTGTGTGCGCAGACGCATAGACGTGGGTTGCAAACGCTGCGGGTTGCGAACATGCATCCCGCATAGATCATGTTCACAACCCGAGCGTCCACTGTACTGCCTACCCTGATTGGCAGCAACTCTTTAGGGTTTCAGCCAGAGTTCTCTCTCAGCCCTTCCTGGGGATGTCGGGGGTTCAACCTGGGGCCTTCTGCTTGCAAAGCAGATGCTCTTCCAGTGAGCTACAATCCTTTCCCTAATGATAAGCTAAGATTCCAGTCCTCATCATGGTTCTGAATAAAGCAATGATTTTAATTAGGAACATAGATGACTGTCTTATACAGAGTCAGGTCATTGGTCCATCAAGCTCAGTAAGCATAAATAAGTATTATAGTATTAATGGAAAATAAGGTTAAAATATGTTAAGATAATTACATGACAGAAAATAGAGAAAGATGGAAAGGATTTGCTGAAACAATTAATAGAAATGGAATACAAAAAGGGAGGTGAGAGGAGGTCGATGAAACAAGGGAATGAAAGAGAGGATATTGAGATGGTATCATGTGTGTTTTTTGAATTGTTTTTGCTTTTGTTTTGTTTAATGTGTTAATGTTAATGTTGTGCTCTGTATTGTTTATATATCGTATTGTACTGTTTTCTCTTTTGCTTTTCTTCTTCTTTTCTTTTTTCTTTTCTTTTCTTCTTTTTGTAAGGTTTAAAAGCAATAAATATTATTTTTTAAAAAAAATCAAGCTCAGTATTGTCTACACACACTGGTAGCAGCTCTTCAGGGTTTCAGGCATGGATGTCTCCCAGCCCTATGTGGAGAGCCCTTCGCCAGCCAGAGTAGGCATTACTGGTTTAGACTAGATGAGCCGTTTTGCCCAGTGGTTCAGGAAGTGGTTTCCCTAATAGACTCGAGCATCTGTTTCTCTGGAAATTATGCTCTGCATTGCAAGCGGAGATGGTGAAGAGGTGAGACGTGTGCATGAAGGAGTATGCTTTTCTCAATAATGCACTTCCCATATGACTTAGTCCTAGTACGTGGTTGCTTTTCTCTGCCTCACTGATCCCTGCTGTTGACATGGCTTGGTTGTATAAACTCAGTGCAGTCTGGTTCCATGGTGTCTCCTAGCACAGCCGGCATAAAGAATAAGCTGGTTTTCAAGAGCCATAGCTGCAAACGGATGAAATGCAAAAATCCCAGTGATGCAGAGGCCTCTAGCAAACCCAGCACAGCATGCTGGCGCCACCTAGTGGCAGAGTGGAGGAAACACTGGGTGTGGGATCAAGGGAAGTCATGCAACCTTCTGCAAAGAGGCTTGATCAAAACCCTCCCTGAGAGCGTTTGCACCCCTTTGCTATCCCATGCAAAAACATGGCCTGCAGGAGCAGGCATCGTCAACACAGCCCTCAGCTAGTCTTTTGCTTGCCTATACCTTGTGTCTAAAAAACAAGCTGTTTTTGTTTGATTTTGCTTCAGAGGTAGAGATGATATCTCAGGCCATAGAGGAAGTGAGAGGCCAGTTTCTAAGCAGATGCTTCATTTGGTTCCTTATCTTGAACTGGTGTGTCATCTGGTCATCTGCCATGTGCCCCCCCCCCCTTCTTATTTGTTTATTTCCTGCCAATTGGCAGTGGTAGGGGAGCAGAAAAAAGCCAGGGTTGTGGTTCTCCCCATCACCCCTTAGATGATTGCACAATATTGTAGACTAAGCTGCCTTGGAAGACTGCAAATAAATTCCAGTTTCTCGTGTAGCAGTGGCATAGGAAACTTCGGTTCTTCCTCTCAGATGCTAGGTGCTCCCTCTCCACAGCCACAGAAATGTCCATAGTCCTACCTTGAAGTGTGAAGTCATACTACACATGGAATCCTGTGTCCTGTTCTGGGCACAACAATTTAAGAAGTATATTGACAAGTTGGAACCTGTGCAGAGGTGGGTGACCAAGATGATCAAGAGTCTGGAAACCAAGCCTTATGAGGAACAGTTAAGGGACTTGGGTATGTTCTGTTGCGCAGCGGTAAATTAATCAATGCAGAGTCTTCTTTATAAACAAAATGAAACTTTACTGAAGAAAATAAAGTTGTTCAGAAACAGCATAGTTAAAGAGCATACACAGAATGCTGATAGCACCTATCTGACTCTTCACAGAGGCATAGTCTTAGCTAGTGATTTACTAGAGTCCTGGAGCCACTCTGTCTGACATAGCAACAACAGCAGCACTATGCCACAGACTACTCCATACACAATCCATACAGCTCTCTGACTGAGGCCCATAGAGAGGCTGGCTACTTTTATAGGGATAATGAGTCATCACCCAAGATGAGTCACGAGTCACAGTGACTTAGCAGTTTGCTGTTAACAGTTAGCAGTTAGCAGGCCTAGGCTTGAATGATTGTGTAGGCCTTGTGGGCCTTACTGCTTCTGCTCTTAGGATAGGGTTGCCAGACTTCCCCGTTTCGCGGGGACAGTCCCCGGATTTGAGAATAAGTCCCCGGACAAATTCCATCCCTGGAATGTCCCCGGATTTCATATAATGTCCCCGGGAAATGCAGCGGCGGCAGTCTCAGCAGCCCGGAGCAGTTGGCTCTGGCTGGCTTCAGGAGCTGCTTGGAAGTCCCCATATGATGGTGGTGCAGGGGCTCTAAGATGCAGCTTCCGGGCTGCATCCACCTTCCCTGACCCCAGCAACTAAGCTATGAAGGGAGGCTTCATGCAGCCTCCCAACTCCTACTTTCGTGCAAGCAGGAGCAGGGCGGGGATCTCTCAGCTGTAAAGGGAGGCTTCACACTGCCTATCAGAGCTTGTGTGCAAGCAAGAAGGGGCAGGGATCTCTCAGTTAGGCAACGGGAAGCCTCCTTTCCCAGCTGAGGGATCCCCGCCCCCTCCTGCTTGCATGCAAGTAGGAATGGGATTGGGGCTGCTCCGATGGGAAGGGAGGCATCACACTGCCAGAGCCTCACCACCGCTGCCTCTCTCGGCCCTCTGGTAACCTTATCTTAAGAACCTTTGTCACATGACATGTTCATCATGGGGCACGGGGAGCAGACTGAGAGGAGATAGGATTCTGACTAAACATCAGGAGTAACTTTCTGACAGTAAGAGCTGTTCGGCAGTGGAACATACTCCCACAAGAGGTGATGAACTCTCCTTCCTTGGGGGTTTTTAAGCAGAGGTTGGATGGCCATCAGACATATATGATCTACTTGAGATTCCTTACAAGGGTTTGAACTAGATGACCCTTGGGATCCTTCCAACTCTACAATTCTAAGCCATGCCAACCCCCCCCCAACCCCCATTTATGACTGGGAGTGGTGATAAGATACTGTGGTCATAGTAAGCTAACCTCAGGTTGTCTTTAGTCAATGACAATTTCATTGTAACCCTCAAAAACAAACAAGACTAAGTTAAAGATGTAAGTGTGTAGAAATGCAAGCTGACAAAACATCAAAATGTTAATTTTCCCAAATCAATTTTTTTTTAAAAAAAAATCCTCTTGGCAGTTGACATCATTTTAACTCAAAGAAGTAGCTTGTCACTTTCTCTCTTTTTTTAAAAAAAATGATATTTATTGGAATTTTTTTTTTAAAGTTACAAAAGAAAACAAGATAGAAAAAGAGAAAAACAAACCACTTCCAACAATACAAATACAAATTCAAAATAAGGAAAAGAAGAAAAAAAACAAAAATACACCACAAACATTTAAAAAGCTTTAAAAACAAATCCATTATTCTCAACTCCTCAACTGTCATTACCTTCTTTCTTTGACCTCCTCCTCCTCCCTTTTTTTGTGTCCTGGTTGTTAATTGTCACAGCAAATCCTTTCCATATTTCATAATATTCTGTCATTGCATTACCTTAAACTATTTTAATCTTATCTTACTATAAAAAACCTTGAAACTTAAAACTTAAATCTTATTTTTACCAACTTCTCATAACCATAATATTCTTACATAATTCCTTAAACATTTTTACTAAAGCCAAGTAATTTCATTCCAACATTTTTCTAACGTTCATCAATTTTATAAAACAGTCCTAGTAGTGAAAAAAAAGAAATAAAAACAAATCCACTCTTCATCCAGCGTCCCTTCCTCCTGGTCCCGGGTTTTGTCAGTCCTTATTATCCCATCAATCTAGCACATTAACCTGGTAACCTTATATCCGAGGCCCTTAAATCTCTTCCATGTCCCTTCCGCAGCTCTTCTTCATATTTGTAACTGTATTTTCCCTTGTCTCCTGCTCGTTTCACTCGTGGGAGCTCCAGCTTAGCAATATTTTTGACCCTTCTCGACAGATCAGCCCCTTTTCCATAATTGACACTAAATTCCATGTGGTATTTAAAAACATGTTTCAAAATCCCTCCAAAATTGAGAGCCCCCACAATCCCAAACATCTCACGGCCCATTGCCAGACTTGAAAAGTCCAAACATCCCTGCATAGGGGGGTCTATCCAACCCCCCATTTCCAAACCAAACCAAACTTTTTCTTTCCAAATCTGGCTTTTTCCAAGTTCATTTGTCAAATCCAGCTCATATTCCTGTTGGGCCTGTTCTGTCAGGGCACACTCCTGATTTAATTCCTGGGTGGGCTCCACATATTTTCCCACTGCCTGTTCAAAATTTCCCACCGCCTGTTCAAAATTTCTACTCGAATCAGCCATCAAATTCGTCTTCTCATGTAGCTGTTCCAGTAGGGCATTTGTTTATAGAAAGCACACAACAGAGCTTCTGAATACATTGTCCTGCAAGGTCAGATGTCTATTCCCACGATTGTAATCTGTAACAGCTGCCAGCTCCCCGGAGTTGGTTACAGTTTCACAGTCTCCCTCTAGGGGGAAAACTTCTATTTGATCTTTCTTTTAAAGACAAGTCTAGCAACAGAGTTTCCTTTTTCAGATATTTTGTCAATATTTGTTCCTTTAAGGTGCGAAAGAAACAGTGGAATCACTATGTTTCTCTTCTTTTAGCTATCTGTCAAAGCGTTTGTCTCTGGTCAATGAGCATCAAACGACAGTCCTGACACCCCGCTCCAGGATCAGGACGGTGGAGAGTTACTTTACTTTAAACTCACTTCTGCAGGTTTAAACAGTCCGAAAAAGATCCCCCTTCTTCTCCTGCTGCCGAAGGGGGGTTCAGCAATTTTAAATGATGAAAGCCAATCCTTTAAAGGCGATTTTCTGAGCTCTAGTTTACGTTGTCTTTGCTTTATTCTGTCCACAAAGAAACAGAAGGCTGACTTCCTGTTTAGACC